CGCCGAGGCCGGGGTGATTCTTTATGCCCCGCCTTCTTTTTCAGGCCGCCCGCTTCACGTTCTGATTGCGAGGCCGAGGCTTCAGCTTTGGCAGGTCCGAGCCTGCACGGCAGAGATCTCGCGTGTCCTCATGGTCTACGACGACATCGAGGACAGCGACTTTGGCCAACGCTCGCCGCGGGGGTTTTTCACGCGATGGGTCCCCCTCGGCCGGCAGGTTTTACGGCAAAATTCGACGACGTCTTGGATTTGCACGGTGGCGGCGACCGACGCGGGAGTCATTCTCCTCCTCGGCCAGTCGCCGCAGGATTTAACGAAGACCCCCCAAAACGACAAGGATGAGGATGAAGAGGAGGAAGAAGAGGGAGAGGATCCCTTTCAGCAAGAGCGGCGTCAACTCGATGAGTGGCTTAATATGGACGACGAAAGCTCTTTGAGTGCGGAGGATACGGGCGAATCGACACCCACTGTCCACCCTTCCACTGAGGACCGCTTGCCGGGTCGGACAGCCTCGAGCGCCGCGGCGTTTTTGGCCGTTGTGGAAAAGCGGTATACGGTTTTGAAGGAGCTCTACTCTCCTCAATCCTCCCATTATTCTTCACATTTGGTATTGCAGGGACCATCCTCGACCGGAGCTTCTTTAGAAAGGACTTCTGCGTTGCCGTCTTTGTCGTTTGGAGTCCGCGATGTTTACCCCGATTTAGCGCATAACGTTCTTCACTTCACGACCTCGGCGAGCGACCGTCTTTTTCGGGTTTCCCTTCCTTTCCTCACCACGCCAACGTACGGCCCGACGGAAGGACCTCTGGAGGATGCCGGGGAAGGGGCTTCCCCGCAAAAGTCTTCCTCGGCGGCGATTTCGAAGGCGGGGCGTATGCCAGGGGCTTTTTCCATCTTTGGCGAGGCCAATCCTTCCTCGGAGGAGCTGTGGTGGGGCCCGACGAGGGCACTCACGGAGACGATCCTCTCGGCGGTGGGATCCCCACTGCGGAGGCCGGTGAACCCTGCCGAGGCGGATTCGCAACCTTCTCTTATTCATCGCCTTTCTTTACCCCCCACCCTCGCGGATGGTTGGAAGACGTCGGCGTCTTCCGAGAAGGATTACAGTCTGCACATTGCCCGACCATTGGTCACGGCTTTTTCGTATTTTATCGGGGCTGACGCTCCGGGGAATCGATCGGCCAAAGACGTGCTGAGGGTCCCCCCGATTGCGGAAGGTTCGCCCTC